GTTTCTTGTTGCTCCAGAGAATAGAACCTAAAGACCAATGGGCTGAAGGTACATGAGGTAGATTTCAGGTTGATAAAAGAATGTATTTTCTGCCAAATAGAGCTGTCCAGCAGTAGTCTGATTATCTCAAAGAATATCAAGTTCCCTTTCAAGTAGAACCTTGGAAACTGTCAGGGGTATTGTAGAAAATATTCCCACAATAGGAGAGACAGTTACTGATCTCTGAGACTTCTTAAAACTCTTAACGTTCTATGATTCTTTGGACTTTATAAATAGTGATTTTTTTTTTTTAGTTTTGATTGGTAGTTAATTTTTTTTCATTTTCTCCAAATATTTCACCGGATTTTTCAGTTTTGCTTACAGTAGCATCATTTTGTCATTCACTATTAAATGTTATCCAGTGGTGAGAAGCTTTTAAGTGTTTAGAGCCCAAAATGATTATATTAAGCCACATCTGGTGTTTTGTCCAATTACCCACACTGGCAACATTATACCATTTCCCAGAATAAATCCCCAATGTGACTGTCTACATTATTTCACTTTATTCATAGCCTACGCTACAATTCAGTAGTGATGAAAATAATCATTTTGAATTATTTGAACTGAGTCTAAAGTTTACAAAGTGCTATTGGACTTGCTCAGATGCACCTGAATGGATGCAAGCTGTCGTTGCCTTACTGTTAAAATCAACATTTCATAAATACTGCCTCTGCAGTAAAGAGCTTTCTGTAACTGTGCATTGAAAGGCTATCTCAGAAATGATAGTTGAAAACCAGAAAGTTTCTTTTAGGTTCTGTGTTTCCAGACCTTTTTGTCAGTATTCTATATACAACGTATCATTTTATATATAACACACACACTTGTATATGTATGTATATGTTTATACACATAAACATGTACATATATGTATATGTTACATATATAATCCTTTAACCCTATATACAAAAGTTATACATTCAAAATTCAGAGAGTACAATAATCATTTATTAAAACACTAACTGTGTACAAGGCACTGTACTTAGTGTTAGGGAATACAAATTTGAAATAAGAAATAGACCTTGGCCTCAAGGAGCTTCCCATCAAGTGTGGGGTCAAAGAATGGGGGTCAAAGAATGTATATGAAATAACTATGACATAATGGTTGGTCATTGCGTTGATCAGAGTTCTTAAGTTTTTCAAACTAACCCCTTTATTTTACTGTGATTTCTTTTTGTTTCTTTTTCTTTTCTTTTCTTTTCTTTTTTTTTTTTTGGGTAGGCAGTGGGGTTAAGTGATTGCCCAGGGTCACACAGCTATTAAGTGTCAAGTGTCAAGTGTCTGGTCGAGAAACCCCTTTATTTTAAAGAATAGGAAACTAAGACCTTGAAAGTTTCAGTGACTTCCTGAAGTTCTCATGGCTATTAAGTAGGTAACAGTTTGACTTTATATCCGCTTATTCCAAATCCAATGCTATTTAAACTATAGCACATTGCTGTCTGTTCCCACTGATACCACCCTAGGGGAGCACCTTGTTACCACCCATGGGGTTTCTTACAGTAGCCTAAGAATAGATCTCACCTCTGCTTGCCAAATCATCATCCATATCGCTTCCAGATTCATCTTCCTTATTCATAGATTTAGTCATGTCGTATAATTATTCAATATCCTTCAATGGTTACTTACTGCCTGCTGAATAAAGTTCAAGTTCCTTTGCTTGTCGTTTAAGATTCATAATAATCTGGCACTGTTATGTCTCTCTAGCTTTAATAACAATAATGGCTAGCAGTTAGATGGTACTTTTAGGTTTTGCAAAACACTTTAGGTGTGTTATTTCTCAATCTGTCCTCCACAGAGTTTCCAAAATTGGGGAGAGAGTAAATAAATGTGACATAAAAAAACCAAAGGAATCAAATTTCAAAAAGAAAAAAATGACCAAAATAGCATCCCTAGCATACAAGTCTGACCACATAACAACAACCTTCCTTCAGAACCTTCAGTGGCCTCTTATTTTTTCAAGGATAAAATGTAGACCCCTTAGTCTTCAGGCCCTCTAAAATCTAATTTGCATTTTTGAGCATGTTTTACACCACCCCACCTTCACACACTACTACATACTGTGGGACTGTCAGCTGTACTCCAAACTCAGCATGCCATGCCCATTCCTGTCGCTATACTTGTTTGCATAGCCTGTCCCATATGGCTGGAATGTATCTTTTTTAATTCTTGCTTTTTCTTATCTTTTTTTTTTTTTTTTTTTTTGCTTTTTGGTGAGGCAATTGGGATTAAGTGACTTGACCTCCTTAGTGAATCCTGGTTTCCTTTTATCCTGTCTCTCTACTTTGCAATTTATTTTGAAACCAGTAGCAGAGACAGTATTAGAACCTATTTTTTCTGTTTCTCTACACTGCCTCCAATTTTGAGAACAGATTAGAGAGGAAAGAGAAAGGAGGCAGGAAAGCCAGTTAAAAAGTTTTTTGTTGTTGTTGTTCAGTCATTTTTCAGTCTTGTCCAACTCTTTGTGACCCCATTTGGGGTTTTCTTGACAAAGACACTAGAATGGTTTGCCATTTCCTTCTCCAGCTCATTTTACAGATGAGGAAACTGAGGCAAACAGCAAGGTTAAGTGACTTGCCCAGGTTCACACAGCTAGTAGGTATCTGAGGCCAGATTTGAATTTACAAAGGTGAATCTTCCTAACTCCAGATCCGGCATTCCATCCACTACACTATCTCGCTGCCCAGGAAGTTATTAAAATAATCCACATAAGTAGTGAAAAGGTCCTGAAATGAATTGTTTCAGAGTGGGAATGGAAGGGAGAACTGATGAGATGGAGTGAAGGCCAGTTACAAAATGGAGTTGGTTTGATGGAGCTGTCAAGAGAACCAGTTAAAATCTATCTCATGAACACTGACTTAATCTTTTGCTGCCACATGTGTTCTCCTCCATCTTGATGTTTTTCTGCAAATTATCCATGGGAAAGTAGATGGTATAAGCTATCTATTGTTTCATAACTACAAGTGGATCAGCAACTTTCAATTCTGGGAAAAGAAAGGCCCCCAAACCTATTTATCTTCCTCCAAACTTGGAAAGTCCCTGTTGTTTCCTCCAATTAGAAGTCAGATTACCTAATTTTGTATCCTGGTTAATTGTTTTCCTATAATCAATTGGTTTTATGTTATTGTTTTTTAATACATAAAAGCCTGTCTCATTCTGCATTCGAGGTCTTTGGACTGAGTGAGAAGTCCACTAACCCTTTATTCTCCCTGTTTTGCCAGTAAATCATATTGCTTGGATTGTTTCCTCAGTTTTTATTAATTGACCATCACAGTTTTGGTGAGCCTGCCAGGAACTAGGGATCCTTGCCAAGGGATTAGGCAGAAGGAAGATTAAAAAATCTTCTTGGTTTTGAGCTTATGTGCCTGGGATGATGGTGGTCCCATCAAAAGTATTAGAGAATCTGGGAGAAGTGACTCTTATAGGGAGAAGATAATGAGTTCAGTATTGGACTGTAAATTTGAGATGGCAACAGGGTAAGTAGGTGTGGAAATCTCACTTGTAGTTGTAAAACATGGCTGAAATAATATACTGTGGAATACAGTGAGAAACTGGGTCTAGCGATTAGATGTGGAAATCATCTATGTGGAGGTGGTAATTAAAAGCATGAAAGCAGATAAATGATAGAGAGAAAATATAAAGAGACAGTTAAAAGGGCCCATGTTTGAAGAAGAAGAGAAAGGTGAGGAACTACCAAAAGAAAAAAATTATTAGAGTGCAGACTCTTAGTAATATGCTCTACAAAGATTAAGGAAAAGAAGGATTGGGGGTGGGGAGGGGGAAGCCATTGGATCTGACAATAAGCCGGTCGTTTATGATGAAGAGAAAAGTTTCAGGAAGTTGAGGAGTTGTGAGTTGACCGTGAGGAAAGAAGGAGTAAATTTAGACTAGTCCACTTAAGAGTTAGTGAAAAAGAGGAGAGATGAGAACATAACGAGGAATGGGACGTCAAAATACAGTTTTTATTTATTTATTTTAGTTTGAAGGGGGGGTGGTAGGATAAGGGAGAACTGAGCCTATTTTTAGACAGAGACTGAGAAACCAATGAAAGATGAGAGATAGAGAGAACATGAACATGAACACGACCATGAGAATGAATGGCACGAAGATAATGTGAAACTTAAAATCCTATAGGCATAGGAGAGGCAGGGAGAGATTTAGCCTAATAGCTTGTTCCTAATTTGTAGATTGTCCATTTTTTAAAAGTATGTTTTATAAATTTTACAAAATCTGAGAGCTTGCCATGAAAGATATTTTCATTCACATTTCAAATTGATTTACTGACATTTCATGCCCTCGTCATCGTGACCAGCCCGCTTAGTGAGCCTGTCTCCTCTAGGTTGCCACTATACAAACCAGACAATGTCAATAATGCCAAAGTTCCCGTAGCACAATTGTCCTGTAATTGGTATTTTTAGCTTGATTAGGGAGAATGTATACAAAGTTGCTGTCTTTTTTGCTGAAGATAATATCTCTAAGTTGGAGTTCTAAGGTATTTGGAAAGAAGAATAGAATGCTTGCCCTTAAGTTGCATTCATTTTGTTCCCAGCACCTTTTGAACTACTTTCATCAATAATAATAACTGTTATAATGACTTTCTTCATTAAACCCAAAACACTTTGCAGACAATACTCCAGAGATCACAGAGAGATGGTAGATATTATCATTATTTCCACTCCGCCAGTAAAGAAGCAAAGGAGAGCATGGCAAATGAAATAACTGGTTGAAGCTGGCTACTAAAACTTATATGTGCCTGGTATTCAGGTGCCCATGGTGAATCATGGCACCCATGAACTATTGTTGATGAAAATCACTAAAATATTTTGGGGAGAAGTAGGCTAACTTATCCAATCGTGATATCCTTTTTACAAAGGGCTTATTATTGTAGTATTTGAAATTAATTTTAACAAATAGATAATAAAAATTGTTAGTAATTTTTCCTGTGGTTTTACTTTTTTTTTTTTTAGATGTGCCTAGCATCAGAAGGAGTAAAAGTAGAAGACTCAAAGGTGATAAAAGCAGAAGAATCAGAAGGGAGAAGCATGGAAGAATCTGAGAAGGGAAAAGTAGAAAGGGAAATAAAAGTAGAGAAATCAGAGGAAGACAAGTTGCCGAAGACAGAATTGGAAAAGCCAGTTGAAGAAATAGTCAAAGACTGCTCAAGTGTCAAAAACTTTGAGGAGATTAAAGTGGACCAAATGAAGGAGGGAAAGAAGGAAGATGGTGAAGAGATCAAAAAAGAAGAGTTGAGGGAAGATAAAAAGTGTAGCCACTTTACTGATCCTTCTTCTTCCGTCAGTAGTAAACTAATCACAAGTGATGGTCCCAGCAGAAAAGATCCCATATGCCATTCCCATGAAGCTGTGATCATTGAGGACACCTTAGGGTTAAGCAAACCAGAGAAGCTAAAAAAGAAAAAGAAGAAGAACAAAATGGACCGACATGGGAATGAAAAGTCCACTCCTAAGAAAACCTGCAAAAAGAGGCAATCCTCAGAGTCTGATATTGAGAGTGTTATATATACTATTGAAGCAGTTGCAAAGGGAGATTGGGGCATTGAGAAGCTTGGTGAAACCCCTCGCAAAAAAGTTCGCACATCTTCAAGCGTGAAGGGAAGCATTCTGGATACCAAGTCACCAAAGAAAAAAGTGAAGTCAAAAGATAAGAAGATGTCAAAGGAGAAACTGTCAAACACCACCAAAGAGTCCAAGCCTCTGGATTTCATTAGTATTACTGCCAACAAAGAGGTTGCAGGAGAGGTGCCAGAGTGTGTAAGAGCAGAACCATTGACTCCAACGGAGGAGGTTCTACCACAGAGCTTGCCAGGACAGATCAAAACAGAGGAGAGTGACTGTAATAGAAAGATAGAAATCTGTGGCTCAAGGAAATCTGAGAGGTCTTGCAAAGGTGCTCTTTATAAAACTCTGGTGTCAGAGGGCATGCTTACATCCCTGCGAGCTAATGTGGACAGAGGTAGGTTACTAATGCTGTGCTGAAATGGGGAGTAAAAAAAGATCATCAGAGTCTTTTCTTTAGACCTAACGGAAGAAACAGCAGCCAGTTTTCACTTGGCCAGCAGTGGTACGGTCATTTTAATTATACATTTTCCATGATTGGTGTCATTTTCCATTCATTTGCTGGACTGCTGTCAGTTCCCAGAGTACAAATGACCCTAGTAGCTTTAAATTATTACAGACTGGCAACTTAGAAAGATTGAGGCTCAGTTTAGTACTCTTTGGGTCTAGTAATTCAATTGAATTCAGGGTTTGTTTGTTTTTTTTTCTTCAATTCACAAAGCATATATTAATCACAATATGCTAGGTTTGCTGTAGGTGAAGGAGGAGATAACAGATAAAAATGACTCCCTCTTTGCCTTCAGGAAGCTTAGAAGCTAGTGGGAGGAAGAAGGCAGAGAGTTAAGATAGATAGTAAATATCTGTAATAGAAGGTAGAGCATGATAAAACAAAGGAAAGAGTCAGATAAGTGTTATTTTTTTAAATGAGTAGGAGATAATTAAACTGACCCAAAAAATTTATTGTATTATGCCAGTCTGTTTGACAGGATCATAACCCATAACTGTTAATTCTATGAGCAAAAATATATACCTTGGACCATTCTGTGGCATAATCAAAGCTACACGTGGAATAGTACAATAAAAAAAGCCCACCACATTTTATGTAGAATGAATCTAGATAGAATCTATGTAACACTGCATCTTCATTTTTTTCATTCAGTCAACAAATGTATTAAGCACTTACTATGTGCATTGCACTGTGTTCTGTCTTCTATCTTGTATAATGTTGTTCTGATTTCATTTAATACTTCTGTTTACATGGATAAGAAGGATATATGTCAAAGGCTTGAAGGGAAAGAGAAAAATATGACCTCATTAGTGTGATGGACTTTGAAACAGGGTACCAGGGAGTGAGTCTATGGCCTCCTGGGACTATTATGGAGAATTGTAAAGAGCCAGAAACAGTAGTGCTAAAAGAAAAGTAATTCTCACGTGTTTAAACATCGCGAATAAGAAAAATGTTGGTATTGCTGAAGCTACTCTTGGCATAGTATAATCGCTGCATTCCCTTACCACTCAATATACATAACAAAGAAACTCATAAGATACTACGTAAGTTTATTACTTATTCCTTTAGTTATAGAATAGTGTGGATCATTTACTAAAGAATCTGAAATGTTTACATCCAGGATAGTTTACATTAAACTGAAGTAACACATGGATTATTTGTGATGTTGGTACAGTGCTTTTCCACGCCCAGGACAGCAACATGAAACCTATTGTATTTTGCTTTCCTAGGGAAAAGAAGCTCAGGAAAAGGTAATTCCTCTGATCATGAAGGGTGTTGGCATGAAGAAAACTGGTCATTTACCCAGTGTGGAACAAGTGGGAATAAGAAGCTAAAAAGACCAAAGCCAAAGGAAGAGTTTGTCCTTGGGTAAGTGTACATGTATATAAAGTCAGTTATACTAGCGCATACCCTGTGTAGAGTATATTAGAAATTTCACGATAAATACAATTAACCATACATTCAAAAATACTCTCTTCATATGCCGATTTTCTAATCCAAATGAAAATTTGTTGGATTTATGTACCACCATCATTTCTGTAGAAACTCATCTAAGTCAAAACCATCAAATCATTAACTCGGTGAGCGCGAGCATGTGGAGCACTCTAGCCATTTGGTAGTAATTCCTAGTAGTATTGACCTCTTCCTGTATTTCTTGTATTCTATCACACAAAAAAGGTAACACAAAAGAAGCATCCAGTATTCTCCATGCCCTCAAGGAGAGATGAAAAAATAGTGGTTCAGCAGGAGATACTCGGTAAATGCTTATTGAGCTGAATTGAATATAAAACAATGAAAGGACAATGTTAGAAAAGGTACCCAAACGTGCAATTGAGAAAGATGAAAGGAGGAAGAGACAACGTAAGCCCAAGGTGTTGGTCAAAGTTTCATGGAGAACGGGGCTTAGATTTAGAGTTGGGATGAACATTTGAAGTCATCTAGTTCAATACCCTCATTTTACATTTGAGGAAACTGAGGTCCAAAAAAGTTAAGTGACATACCCAAAATCACATAGGTATTAAGCAGCAGAAGGAAAATTTGATCTCAGGTCCTCTAGCTACTAATCCATCACTCTTTGCATTGCATCACTGATTATCTTACATGTAGGTATATAATTATATTAAACACACAAATATATCTAATATGTAGATATAAATATAGTTAATGTATGGATACAAAAATCCCTTTAATATATTATAGATACTATATATATTTAATCTTATAATAATTATCATTAAAAGTACTTATATGGTCAAGTACAGTTCTCTAAAATTGGAGCATTTTTAAGTCAATTCAAATCTCATCCACTTTGCTGCCAGGGCACAGGCAAAAAAAAAAAATTGCTATTTATAAGGTAGTGGGAATAACTATCATTTTCTGTGTTGAGAGCTATAATTTCTCTTGGTCAAGGATAGAGGTTCTCCATCAACTCCTGTCTGACTACATTGTGTTTTGGTAATTTAACTCATTGATTAAAATATTTTTTGCTTGGAAATTTTTTTTTGAGAATTCAATACCCAACCTGAGATGATAGTAATCATAATAATAATAGATATTTATATAGTGTTTTAAAGTTTGCAAAGTATTTTCAATCCATTTTATCATTTGAGCTTCACAACTCTTCAAGCTTAATCATCCCTTTTTTTTTTTTTTTTTTACAGTTGAGGAAACAGTTTTTGAGAAGTTAAGTGATTTGTACTTAAATCCAGTACAAATAAAGGATAGGTATTGAGAAACTGATATGTCTTGTGCTTCATTTAAATGTGATATCAGAACATAGTAGGTTTAGAGCTATAAAGGACCTTGGAGATCACCTAATCCAACCTTTCTTTCCTCCTACTCCCATAGGTGAGGAAATGGGGGCCCAGAAAGGTTAAGTAAATTACCCAAAGACACATAGATAGGAAGTAGCAGGAGTGGGCCTCGAACCCAGGTTCTCTGATCCAAATATACCTTGGGTAGTCATAATACTAGATTTGAGAATCATTATTTTAGGCAGAGAGGGCACTTGGCACAAATGGTACTCAGTATCATAATCTTTATTTTTTTTTAATGTTTTATTGATAATCTTTTTTTAATCACTGCTGTTTTCTGTCACTACCATCAACAGAGCCTTCTCTTATAACATCCTCAGTCAGACAAAACAAATCATTGGCCGTGTCTAAAAATGTGTGCCTCATTTCATACCTCCAGGCTACCATATCTTTGCTGAAAGGAGGAATGTTTTACCATTAGTCTTCCGAAATCATGGTAGATCACCACATTGATCAGAGTGCTGCAGTCTGCAGTCTGCAATCTTTCAACCACACTGTGTATTTGTACAAAACATTAAGTTATCATTAAATATTTTAAAGAATTAGCTCATTTTGGTGGTTGGGGTCTGGACCAGTGTTTCAGGAACAAAAGAACAATAGGCTAGTATGTCTGACAGAGCTCTGATCGGGAGACATAGATTCTAGTCCTGATTCTAGACATAGAGTCTAGTCTTAGACATAGATTCTAGTCCACTGACTGATTGTATGATCTTGAAGACTTTGTCATCTTTGAAATCAGAGGATAGTCAGTCAACAAGCATTTTTTTAAGTGCTCTGTTTCAGGCCCTGTGCTAAGCACCAGGGATACAAAGCAAGGCAAAAACATGGTAATCCAGTTTCCTCATTTATAAAATGAATAATATGGACCAGGTTATCTTTTAAATTCTCTTGGAGCTTTAAAATTCTAGGCTGCTATGAAATACAGTGGAGGAAAAGAGCCATAGGAACTTAATCTAGTAGATAAATCCATGCCATTCTGCTGTATGAGTAAACAACTACAGGAAAAAGAAAAAGAAATTAAAATCACTCCTTCATCTGCCTTTATTTTATTTTAAATATCTCTTTGCTGTAAAATGAACAAAGGAACACAATTTGGTTGATCTTTCTGCAGGGTTAAGGGGGAGCTTCCTATTGCAAAATGTGATATGAGATAGTAATATTAAATCAAGGTAAAAATAATTAAGAATTGTTCAAATTATAATGCTAGAGCCATAGAGAAGCAATTCCTGGGGCCATGAGTAGAAATTGAGTTATTAAATTAGCAGTGTCATGCTACTTTGTCCACGGTGGTAAGAAAAGAAATCCCCATATTCAGTTGTACTGCTGCCAGAAATCCTTAAGGAGTTCTCAGGAGTCCAATTGGAAGAGAACAAATTGAATAAAAATGAGGAGCTTTTTTGTGTGTGTACCACAAAATGGTAGAATTCTTTATCAATATGTTTGCGTGCATGCTCATTTTTTGCAGTCACTGCAATGTATTGAGCATATTAAAAAGTAAGTACACCTTATATTGATGAAAGAACATGGATGGAAGATACATTTAGTGTTTTAAAATCTCATAATCTAAGGTTAGATTTAATCACAGAATCTCAGAGACTTTGTACTCCAATCCACACCTGAACAAAAATTCCCTCTACAGCATACCTGACCAAGTCATCCTCCCAGCCTTTGCTTGAAGACATCCTCAGAGCGAGAGAATCCATTACTCTTTGTGGCTGTCCTTTCCATGTTTAGATGACTAAACTAGTTATTAGGGAGTTTTTCCTTACATCAAGCCTGAAATTTCCTCTTTGCAGCTTCTACCCAATGTTACTAGTCTTGCCCTGTGGGACCTAGAATAAGTCTGATCCCACTTCCATATGACAACCTTTCAAATACTTCTCTAGGCTAAACAATTCAGTCCTTTCAACTGATCCTTTGCAAGAATGTTTCTGAAGCCCTTCACCAAGGCTGTATTTTATCATAAAATGAAAAGGGAAGAAATTATTATAAATAATGGCTTCTAGAGGTTCATATAATTTATATCATTCCTCTTATTTTTTTAAAATTCAAACTAAGTCTAATTAGATTTACCATCACATTTAAAATAGTACCATTGACATTTTCACATTACTTCTGACCCAAAGGCATTGTTAAATGTAATGTTACCAGGAAAAGAAAAAAAAAAAGGCTGAGTGCTTTGGGTCAATGCCACGTGCCTTTTCAGATATCTACCACTTCCATATGGTACTCTGTGCCAAAGAAAGACACATGTAAAGTTTTAGACACTATTTAGGAACAGATTAACAGAAGAGAGGAGTAGGAATTATGGCTTCCTACCAGAAAGCTCCATTGTCTTCATTTAAGGAAACAACAATGCACGGAGATGCTTTAACTAAGCATTTTTGGGGTACAGGAAAAGATACATTTTCTCTTAGAAATTTGGCCCAAAAAAGAAATTGGTATGTAGGTTATCTCTGTAAGGAGCTCATGCCTACATGTATATTAATGACAGATTCTTTCACCTCCAGACTTAAGAACAGGTTTGTTTTTTTTCTTTAAGGTAGATTTTTCTTCTTAACTTTTTTCATTCAGGTAGAATTTGAAAGAGTGGATTGTTTGGCACTTCTTGGTTTAGAACTTGTCCACTTTGAATAGTGAGAGATGGTGGCGGATATGTTATAATTTCCTGAGAATTATCTATGAACATTTTAACCTTAAAGCTCAGGAAATTATTCATCCATATACTTTCTCACCTCAATTCTAGCTTGACAAACTTCTGCAAAGAAAACAGAAGCCCACTTACCTTCCTCTCTACCTTACACACACACACACACACACACACACACACACACACACACACACACACACACACAAACACCCTCAGTAAATCTTCCTAATTACATCTCTCTTTTATGCATTTAACTTCTGAAAACATTTTTAAGCTTTATTACTTACAGATAGCTTTTGTCTTAAGAGGTACATCACTGCATGAAAAGCTGATTTACATTAGGCTTAATGTACGTTCTTAACCTAGAAAAATATGTCAGCCACAATATACAATACCCTTTTCCTACAGTGCTTCCCTTGTACTTAGTTAATAGTGTCCCAATCTCTTTGAACTGTGGTTTCTTCTATGGTTCCATTCCTCCAAAATGGAGATCATTTTTAAACTGAAGCAGTTTATCGTAAGATATTGAAACCAGAAGAGAGCTTAGAGAGGTAATCTAATCCATGGATTCTTAACCTTTTTTGTGTGTTATTGATCCCTTTTCATAATATTTATTTAAATGTATAAAAATAAAATACATAGGGTTACAAAAGAAACCAATTATACTGAAATAGAGTTATTAGATTATCTCTTTATGGTCTCTTCTAGTTTCAGTATCTTATAATAAATTGTTCCACTTATCAAAATAACTTTAAAAACAAGTTCATTCACTTAAGGTTAAAAAACCTCTGATCTAGTCCAGTTCTCTCATTCTATAGATGAGCAAACTGAAGAAAGAGAGAGGGGAAATGAATTGTCCAAGACCAAGATCATATGGTCAGTTAGTAACAGAGATGACTTTTGAACCCTCACTCATTTCACTCACCTAAGAGGGGACCTTCCTCCCAGGTTAATGGGAGTCTGAGAATATTTTGGGTGCAGGGATATGGTTCTCTCTCCTTGCCTGCCAAACCAGGCTTGTAACAAGGCTTTGGATAATTTAGACTAACAGTGGAATACAGGCTTGAGGATTTCTGACAGGAAGGATTTTCTCCCTAAGCCTGGTCAGTCTCTGATACCTTTGTGATACTCCCACTCCAGGCTCTTTATCCAGGGATTTCCCATTATAATTATTTTTCTACTAAATGAATTACTGCCAACAAGGTATCAAGTCGATCCTTGACTCAGTGACCCCAGCAGATACTCATATCCTTGCTGTAGCCCTAAATCATGTATACCCTTTCCTCCCAGTGAGGGAAAAATAAAAGCTTGTATCTTAATAGGAAAAATTGCTCTGTTTGCTGTAGAATTTTATTTTCTCTTTATCAGGTAGTTTTATGGGTTGTTGCAACCTCAGAATATCAGACATAGTGCTTCTCCACTAGCTTCTCTGTCTGCCCAGGTTGCTTTTGAGTTAAATTTCACCAGATTTAAAGCCAGCAGCAAGCAGTGATATTGTGGGCACAGTAGAATTACCACCAAATATGTCAAAATCAATAACAGGACCTCCCAACCATTGATGCAATATCTCTGAGGATCATCTTGGGTAAAGTTGCCTTGCTTGGCATATAATGCTTTTTAAAATAAATTGGCCTTTTGAAAGTCTAGTCCCTTTTTTTGCTAGCTCTTTAGGATTTTTTGTTCTTATTTTCAAAATTATTTTTCCTTTTTTTCTCACAAAACAAATGCATTATATTTAAAAGCCTACTGCTGTAAAATTATCTAGGTGTATGTAACACACACATACACATATACTCGCCAGTATATAGGAGTTTGGGCAGCTAGGTGGTGCAATGGATAGAGCACCAGGCCTGGAATCAGGAAGACCTGAGTTAAAATGTGGCCTTGGGCAAGTCACTTAACCCTGTTTGCCTCAGTTTCCTCATCTTTAAAATGTGCTGGAGAAGGAAAGGGCCAACTGCTCCAGTATCTTTGCCAAGAATATCCCAAATGGGATCACAGAGAGTTGGACATGACCAAAAAACCAACTGAACAACAATGTACTAGTTATAAAAGACAAGTACATATAGAGATCATGCCCTTTTGGTGCTGTGGGTCTTCAGAGACAATGTACCCCAGCTTTAATTTTTGAGAATTCCCCTCTGCTAAAGACAAAAAAAAATCAAAAATGTACTTTAAAATGAGAATTAAAAACCTCCTTGTGTATCACCAAGTAATTTAATCAGTTGACAAACACCTGTTAAGCACCATTGATGTGCTAGGCACTAGGGCAGGGGTGGGGAGCTGTGACCACAAGGTCCTCAAGTGAGGCCCTCTGACTGAATCCAAAGTTCAGGGAACGAATCCCTTTAATAAAAGGATTTGTTCTATAAAACTTGGACTCAGTCAAAATGCCGCATCCAGGGACCTCTAAGGTCCCACTGTGGCCTAAGACCGCAGGTGTCCCTCCCCTGGTTTAGGGAAACAAAGGAAAGCCAGAACCAAGACCTGTTGTTGAGGAGCTTACAGTCTAACAGGGGAGACAATATGCAAATCATTATGTACAAACAAGATATATATATATGGGATAAATTAGAGTTAATCAAGAGAAGGAAGGCAGAGTAATTCAGTAAATGTCTTAGCTTTTTTTTTTTTTAATTTTCAGTTCCAAATTCTTTCCCTGTCTTCATTCCCTCCCCCACAAGGCAAAAAAATACAGTGATACCTTAGGTATTTCAAAATAATAGAATGATATTTTAGACTTTAAAGTATTTCAGTACATATCTAAAGTATGTAATATAATCTGTCTTGAATATTTCCCCCAAAAGTGTTATTGGTAAACATCCTGAGCAAAATCTATTCTCTAGTTTTGTTTTGCTTTTTTTTCTACCTAAAATCCACTGATAGTATTTTTATTCCCAGGGTCACAAAAAGGTTCTCTACTTCTTTCAAATGATATGTTTATTAACATATTTTTCCTCTATTTGTTTGAAACCATGTGCTTCACATGCTGTTTGATTTTTTTTCTTCCCCTTCCATTAGCTTAGCAAAGCTGGAAGAAGAATTTGAAAAAAAATTCAATAGCCTCCCTCAATACAGTCCTGTCACATTTGACCGGAAAAGTGTATCTGTTCCAAGAAAAAAGAAGAAGACTGGAAATGTTTCATCAGAACAGACTAAAACCAGCAAAGGTTAGATGTGCTATAGTTTTCTGCAGCACTGTCAGACTCTAATAAATTGTCTTCTGAAATCCTGCTTCCTTGACTCACATAATGCTGGAGTTAGAAGTGAGGCAGGGAAATTGTTCATATTGTTGATCATTTTCCAAGTTGTTTTCCATTTTTTTCTTTTCTAAACGTTTTTTTCCTTGTTTCTCTCTGTTTCTTTTTTTTTTTTGATTTCCAGTCTTTGCTTTCAATCAAAGATGCATTCAAGACTTTTTTATAAAACTGCAGTTTATATAAATTCTCAAGCATCCTGACCCTCAGATTAGCTTTTCTTTGTAATACTAAGGCTTTCTTGAGCAGAAACTGCTGCTTGAATAGAATTTTTCTGCTGTACGTAAGTCATAGCTATGTGAGTTAACACCTATATAAGACTAACTGAAACTATAAAACAAGAGATTTATTACCCTGGTAATTATGTCTGTCAAATGAATAGAAGCAATCTCATACTGGCAACATTGATCAAGTGAATATTACATTGTTGTTCCAAGTATGTTGACTCAGCTATTGTATTGGCTTTGTAATTTGAGAAAATCTTTTTTATTTTAACTTTCCCTACTTAAGGAAATAAATTTCTTCCTTATCAGAAAGAGCTAAATTTTTAAAAATCTATCAATTTTATGTACAGCAAATCCTAATACTCACTTGTACCAAATTATTTCTGTGTAATAAGATCAGGAATGTATTTTAAGTTATTAAATTAAACAACTCATATGTTGGAGAATAATTTCCTTGCCATAATGATGTGAGGTAGAGTGTGTCATATCACCCTCATTTTATAAATGTAGGAACTGAGGATTAGAGAAATCATATGATTTGTTCACTGAATCATAGCTAGTAAATGTCAGAGCCAGCATTTGAGTTCAGTTCTTCTCCCTGCTGAATCATTACTCTTTTTGCTACATCATAGTACACATTGCGAGGCCTGGGCTGTGTTAGAACAACACATGTCTTGCTTTCTGCTAGAAATGTTTCACTCAAAACTTGATAAACTCAGATTTTTTTTTTCCTTAAGGTCAACTTAATGCAATGGACTAGCTGGAACAGAAGGGACACTAATCTCTGAAGGTCAAAATACTAGTAAATCAGTAAAGCATAGTACAGCTTCCCTAGTTACTCAAAATCTGGCTCTGTATGCCAATGTGCATACCGTTGTCAGGAAATTAACTGAAAGTCCTTTGTAGAATCATTGCCTGTCTAGAGTACCTCTGTTCAAACCATAGAAGATCAGTCCTCACTTTTTGCATGATGTCATTTTCATCTTAAATGTATTCTTTTCTTTCTTTTTCCTGGAATTTTGTAAACATAGATTTGAAGATTCTGGAGAGACAGGTCATGTTAAGGGTTATGTGGGCACAGTTAAGATTAATATAAAGTAGAGAAAAACTGAAGTTTCTTCCCCTGCCCCCCCCCCCCCCCCCAGAAACCAGGGAAAAAACTTGGGGATAAGAACTGTACTAATGACAGAAAAGTTCAAATTAAAGTCCAGGTTCAAACTTAAAAAAAAAAAAAAGACCTGGATGGCTTTAAATAACTAGGTTTTCATGATTTTGGATAGGATTGGGGAGGAGGAAGTTAAAACTACTATTTGAGCAGGGAAAGGTAAGAGTTGGTTCAGGTTCACCACCTGATTAATAAAGATTAATTTTCTGAATAAAAAACCAAAAGAATTGCTGATGTATACATTAAGTTTGCCTCTATAACATCTGATTTGGGAAAGTGAAGCACAGTTGGAACTAGGTCACCCAAGAAGTCTACGTTAGGTATAAAGAGAATCGTTTTTAACAGATGGATAGTTATGTATGATAATGGGGTTTACCAAGGGACATTGTGCTGCTTCTCCATAAATATAGAATAGGAGAGGATGGTCCAACAGGCAAGACTAGATGATTTTGTGAGGTTTTTTTTAGCCCCAATTATTTTTAGACTTGGAATTACCAACTTTCACACAAATCAAAAATAGGTTTTAAGTTATTATTATATAGAATGTATTATCCTCATTTGAGACAGCACTGTACTTTAAAGTTGGTGATGAATGAAATGTGGCATGAGAGGTTTAGGGTTTTTGTTTGGTTTTGCCATATTTATAGAGCATATAGCAACATGCCTAGCTAGGAATTTGGATTTGTTTTCTCACATCTTGTATAAAACCCTCTTTCGGGGGCTTGGTTGTCTATATTCTACTGTTTTCACATGCCAGCCGAGGTTGTGTCATGTTGCCTTTCCTCTTGTTAACGGATGATACTTCATAGTACGCTGCCCTGAAACAGTACACTCCCAAACCACAAATTATCAGATTTCTTACGTATAATATGGAAGTTTAGATTTCTCTAAAATTTTCGTGACTGTTTCTCTCCTTGCTGTTTACTCCAATTTACTCAGATTGAGGGAAGTATGGTCGTTATTTTTTTTAAAGCAGGAATTAAATAATATAGGCTGTATTTAGCAAACTAATTACAGAAATATGTTTGTGACTGATTATAATTTGATATTAGGATGCCAACTAGGCTACACGTTGTTAATGGGATTACTGTACCAGTTGCTCCATAATCAGCTGCTCTTTCGTGGGGAAAAAAATAGAGAAGAATTTTTTTTTTCCATGGAAGCTGAACCCTTTACTTTTTTTATAAAATAAAATGTTCATAGAATTTTTGTAGTTGTTCAGTTGCTTCAGTCATGTCCGACTCTCTATGACCCCATTTGGGGTTTTCTTGGCAAAGATACTGGAGTGGTTTGCCGTTTCCTTCTCCAGCTCCTTTTACAGATGAGGAAACTGAGATAAACAGGGTTAAGTGACTTGCCCAGGGTCACACAGCTAGTAAATATCTGAGGCCTCATTTGACCTGAGGTCTTTCTGATTCCAGGCCTGGTGCTCTATCCACTATGCCACCTAGGATACGTATCCTAGTATTCTGTTCATTTGCCCCCTTGCTCCTGTTTTTTATTGTTTTTATTTAATGTTTATTGCATTATAATTATATATAAGAAGCTATACCGATATTGTAGGTTATATAGAGTTTTTCAATAAGGATAAGGAATAGGGTCTGTACCTCTGGTCTCATTGGTAAAGGAAGTGCTGCCAAGTGACAAAACTCCCTCTTCTAGTGCATGTTGGCATTATCTCTGCTGTTTATGGTCTTAGAGTCCTGAAGCAGCAAGCTCTGAAGGCTTGTTACTTGCCTAAGGTCACACAACTAGTATGTATCAGAAACAGAACTTGAACCCCAAGTCGTGATGGTTCTTGGTCTACATAACGGTATGTTATATCATGCTGCCTAGAGAAACTATTCTACATTTGTTATTTGAGATCCAAATATATGGAATTTTTATTGTTAAACCAGCATATTTACTTCTAGAACCTGCTGCTGAGTTTTCCAGTGGTCTCACTGGCATGTAGCACTCCAGGTAATCAATCTCTCCCTCTGTAGATCCTTTATTGAAGCAGAATGAACTCTGTCAGAAACCCTTCCAGATACTCAGATTCTTTTAGCAAGTGATTAAAAATCCACAGCCTTCTCAGTAAAAGTGGCAGTCGAAAGTGGAAGAGATAGACCACTTGAAAGATTATGAGGATGTCCCAGCTCCTTCCCAGACATTATCTCCTCAGAGGTCTCTGCTAACCTCTTTAATGCTTTCTTATGATTAGGCCCGGTGCTCTTGGTCTGAACAAGTGAGTGAAATGGCAAGTGATGCATCTCAGCTGTCAAGAGGGATCTAGGCACAGAAGCAGGAATGAACCATCTCCTTTTTCTCCTCTCTTTTAAAAACTTGCCAATTTTTTTAAATAAATGAAATGTTTACAATGAAATTTATAACAAAAATGTATTATTTTATATTATTATTTTTATTTTAATATGATAAAAATATAAAAATTTTGAATTTTTTTTATTTTTCCAATTTTATGATGGAATTGGAGGGAAAATATAGTTCCAAGTCCAGATGAAAATTTTTCCGAACAACTTGCAGCAATTTAACTATTCCATGTATTCCCATATTTAGCATATATTAGACAATGTGGACTTAGGTCCATAGTAGGCAATTGGTAGATGTGTGTTGATTTGTTGACTTGACTTGAAGGAACTTAAAAGCAAATAAATATGTGACACAATCACTTAACCTTATTTCCTTATTCTTTAAGTTTATGTTTTCTCCATGTTCCATGTTTATATATTTACCTTTAAAACATGGAGACCTTGGTTTTTACTAGAAGTCTATATTTAGGGGCAGCTAGGTGGGCAGTGTGGATAGAGCACCGGCCCTGAAGTCAGGAGGACCTGAGTTCAAATGCAGCCTCAGACCAAACGCTTGACACTTCCTAGCTGTGTGACCCTGGGCAAGTCACTTAACCCCAGTTGCCTTAAAAAAAAAAAAAAAGAAGTCTATATTTAATTGTGATTGTAAATAGTGATGTATTAACTGTTGGCTTTCAAAGATATCTGAGACAAGGTTCCTTACAAATCGTTTAGTAATTGTCATTTAAAGTGGATAGGTCTCCAGTTCTGAGCTGAGAATTTGTTTAAATGAACATTGTAGATCGTTTGGTTCTGTTCTCTTCATCTCTACTTTCTTTTCTCTTCTGCCTCTTCACATTGTTCCTTTGACTTTAGTCCAGAATACCTTTAGGGGTGTTTGTTTTGTTTTTTTTTTCCTCCTTTTTCTCTTTCTCTCTCACCATATTAATCCACACCTATACCTTTAATGCATTTATACTTCAAGGCAGAAACTGACTGTAAAAATCTAGGAGAAAAAAAGGGAAGAATTGGAAAGTGAAATGAGAGAAAAAGAGGTAGTAGGACTAACAGATTAGGAATTGAGCATCTCTTTTTTAGAATTATGGTAAATTTAGTACACACTGTACCATAACTCAGGGAAACCCTTTTTTTTCTCTAAATAAGAATTTCTTCTAATGCTTGCAAAACCAACCTGGTTATTAGGCAGTTGTGGCCACCTCTCTTGGCTCATACAAC